TGCTCCCCCTGCCCATCCCACAGATCCTGTGGCATCTGTTCCAGTGTAATTCAATCCAGAAGCAAAACAAACAGTCAGGAAAGAATCGTGGTGCGCTCCTCAAGAGGTGGAGAAATCACATTTTCTTGTTTCTTTTAGTTTCACAGATTATGGAGTGGTTTGGGTTCAAAGAGACCTTAAAGCTCATTCAGTCCCACCCCTTTCCATGGGCAGGGACACCTTCCACCAGCCCAGGTTGCTCCAAGCCCCATCCAACCTGGCCTTGGACACTTCCAGGGATGGGACAACCCCAACAGAACACAACTCACCTTACCTACAATCACCTTTAAAAACCACCTCCACTGATGTCCCCTTTGCCCCTACTTGTTACATTTACTTGACCCCACATGACAAATGCCTTTTCTAAAACATTACCAATGAGTTATCCCCCCAAAAAATTTAATAGGGAAACTTTTCCCCACTTTGGAATTTCAGCTCCAAACCTGAAGTCAGCATTTCAGGTGCTGAATTCAGAGATTTACGAGCTGTTTGCTGCCGGTCCAAGGACTTTCATCACGGATCCAGCCTGCAGAGCACAAACACATTGCAGGGAATTGCTTATTTCTAATGACATAAATAAAAACCCATGAACAGCTCCAAGACAGATTAGTCTCCAAAGCTCCAGCCTGGTTAGGAGCAGAGGTAATTTGTCCAAGGAGTACAGGGATTATTTATTATTTTTTTTTGGTTTAGAAAAACGTAAGCAGCCAGCCTTCCTTTGCACTGCAAAACCAAAAGAACTCAAAAAAAAGACATTCAGAGTCTTTCTTAGTGAGCTCTATGGAAATTAAAGGTGTCCTCTAGAAAGTGAAAGGGTAATAATAAAAGATTGTGTGAAATATGCAATTGAATTTTTAGGTAGTTGATAAAAATGGGGTTAAAGGATACTTCTTTTAATCCCTAATCTTTGGAAAAAAAACAGGTGAGTGCAGGATTATATGGCAGAAATGGATAAAAGCTCTCAAAGAGATGTGAAACAGGGTGTCCTTTTGGAATGAAATACTGCCTGTGTTTAGGTTGTCTGGCATTTTTATCTCCCAGAGCGTTAGAACAGTGGGAACAGGAACTCAGAGCCTGCAGATGTAACACTGCTCTGTGCACAGAGTGATCCAGAGTGGGAAATCCAGAGTGATTTCCAGAAGGGAAAATCAGGAGGGCAGGAGCTTCCCATTCCCAGCACAGAGCCAGGGAAGGGAGGGAATCCTAAAACAGCCGCTCAGACTCCCATAGCTGTGCCCAGCAAAGTCCCATCTCCGTGGTGATGGAAAAGTGATGGAAAATCCAACGTAAATGTGGCTTAATTTCCCCCTATAGGAGAGTTGTTTTCATGAAGAACTGAACTCAGCCTTCCCTGCCACGGTTGAGTTGTTGAGTAGGAGTTGCCACGAGTTAGGGATGTGTTCAAGATGTGTCTATTCTGAAGCACTTGAAAGACTTGGACAGGTAAATGCAGCTGACCTGGAGATGGGACATGGCATTTACCTGGCTGTGAAATGTTGGGAGAGAGTCCCTGAGCGCGATTCCATGAGACACAAACGGCAGGAACAGCTAAACAAAGCTGTCAGCTGCCGTGAAAGCCCAAGTTACGTGGTCTGATGGCCACGGGGAGCTGACAGAGACCTGGCTGGGTGGGTCTGGGTCACCTCCCAGCACAGCAGCTCCCAAGAGCCCTTTCCCTCCTGTAGTTTTATGTGTGTTTATATAAAAATATAAACTTTCAGCTGATCATAAAGGGACAGCAAGTCACACAGATCTCTTAAAAACCCCTCGTGCGCATGCAGTGAGTCGGGGAGGGGTTTTTTTTATTCTTCTTTAAAGCTCCTGGCACCGAGCAGTTGGATGTTGGTTTTAGTGTTACTGACTGTTGATGCAGAGGCACGTGAGCTGATGCAACAAGTGCAGCAATTTCAGACCATGAGCATGCTGGATCCACAGATGGGTTTGGGGTTTGCATGTGCACAGCTGGGCAGGGTGTTGCTGGCTGTTGATACACCAGAGGTTGCTTGCTGGAGTTGACTGGGGGGTGTGTTTGAGCTGCTGTAGCTGGTTATAGCAGTGGTGTCAGAGCAGCTAAAAATACCTCAGGCCAGTTCTGTTATCAGTTCTGTGCTCAGATTCCCCTGGTGAGGCTGGAGGAACCGAGCGTGCTGGAGTGAGTGTAAAATGTGGCTGCGGCACCAACTGGATGGCACACGTGGGAAGGGAGGAAAAAAAAAAAACACAACACTTATATACCCTTTCCTTGAACTTAGGATGAGAGTATTAGGTCTTACTGTCAGCCTTGAAAGGCAACTTACAGCTTCTTTCCATAATACCCGTTCAAAGCACGTCAGAGCTGTGCTGTCTGTTCCTCAACGCTCAGTCAAACAACTGCACGTGTTTTTTAAGACCTAAGGAGGGAATAATCCAGTACAGAGGAGCTTTGCCTATGCTCAAAGTTATCTGCACTTTGAAAGCCGGGTTGTAATAAAATAATTGAGAGTTCTACATGAAACGTGGAGCTCTCAGAGCTCAGCTGTTGAGCAGCATCTCACAGGGAGCGAGCATGGAGTGATGGGACGAGGGGGAATGGCTTTAAGCTGAAGGAGGGCAGGTTTAGGTGGGATATTGGGAAGGAATTGTTGGCTGTGAGGGTGGGCAGGCCCTGGCACAGGTTGCCCAGAGAAGCTGTGGCTGCCCCTGGATCCCTGGGCGTGTCCAAGGCCAGGTTGGACGGTGCTTGGAGCAACCTGGGCTGGTGGAAGGTGTCCCTGCCCATGGCAGGGGAGTGGAACTGGATGATCTTTAAGGTCCCTTCCAACCCAGACTTTTCCATGATTCTCTGAATTGCAATCACAGAATGGTTTGGGTTGAAGGGGCCCCAGAGGTGTTGTGGTTCCATCTCCCCCTGCCATTAGGTCTGTTATCAAAGCAGACAGTTGTTACCCTCTGTATCTTCCATGTTCCAATGCAGCCACCTGGATAAGCTTGGACTTTTCTTTATTTTGCAGGTGAAAGCCAGTTTTGTGCCTGGTGGGGATTTCTTAGGGGTAGTAAAAAAAAAAGAAAAAAGAAGGGTTTAAGGGCAAGTTTAAACTCAGCCTCGGAGGAGTGAGTTTGGTTTGGGAGCAGTTCCCAACGCTGAGCTGAAGGAAACTGGCTGTGCCCAGTGCCCTGCAGCTGCCCCAGCATCACCTGGGCACTCCTAAACCCTCCCAGGTAGATCCAGCTCTTCCTTTCTGCCCAGATGTGTAAGCCAGCACTGTTGGAGTATTATTAATGTCCTGGTTCTGGAGGCAGAGCAGGGAACGCACAATAAACTTGTAATGATTCAGAACCTCCACGTCCTGGGTACAGCTATTTAGGGTAAAGTCTAAAAGTTCTTCCTTTTGCAAGGAAAGAAAAATAACCTTGGAAACAAAAGTCTCCCTAATTTTCATTTTACGTAAGCGTCTCTGTTCTGGCTTGGGCTCCCAGAGACAGTGAATGCCCCCAGACTGGCTGTGGGTGGTCAGCAGTTCAGCAAATTGGGCCATCCATCTAAATTTGTCTCCCTTAAATCTATCGGATTCACGTCAGCGTTGGTTCCAGCGGTACGATGGGGATTCAATAACTTCAAGGAAGCCTTCTGTGATCCTGCTGTAATCATCCATTTTCATAAGAGTGAAGCCACCGTGGAAGGACTGTTCCAGATGCTCAGCTCCCAGAGCTGGTGCTTGCAGGAACAGCAGCCGTGGTTGCACGGGAGGCGCTCTGGGGGTTTTTAATTTTGCAGTAGTGACACACCAGAAAAAGCTGCTGTAAACTTCCACTGTGGGAGTAAATGGGAAGTTCTGGAAGCAACTGGCTTAAATTTCCTGGGGTTTCGTACGTATCCCACACCGTGTGATTTGTGGGTTTCAGTTACAGTTATCAAAAAGGAATATTTTATGTTAAGGTAACATCCTTTTACTGGAGCTGCAGCCCAAACCAGGGCAGAGCTGGGAAATGGAGACGGGCTCTCTTCCAAATTGTACATTATCAGATGAATAATTAACTGTAGACTAATTGCAGATCCTAATTAGCCTCCTACAACTGCACCAAGCACAGTATTGCTTCAGTGTAACGTGGCAAAATCTTGACCTTCAGGTTTAACCCTGCTGCTGGTGTGAGCTTGACTTTCAGAGCCCAACTTATGTGTGATAATGCAACTTAAAAAACCTCCACAGGTTTTTGTTATAAAATTAAATGGATACAGAAGTGCCAGTACCCATGCCTGGCCTTTTCCTGGTGTGCATTGCTAGCTGGGAGCTTCTCTGTGCCACTTTTCCTTCAGGTGGTGGAAAAAAAATCGGGAAAAACTATCTGGAATGTTGGGTTTGGTCTGTTTTATAGACTTGATGGGGAACTGGCAGGTGGACTTTCAAGTCATGGCCCAGCAGGGTGAGTGCAGAAGGGTGGGTTGGTGTCTGGAGAGGCTTGATTGCTGTATAACCATGAGCATGTTTGGGGGGACAGCAGGTGACAGTAGAAGGTGCACGTGGATTTTCTGTCCCGGTCTTTCCTCTTAAGCACTCAGTAGCACAAGTTGGCTACTCTGCAGCTCATGGAATCCTTTCCAAAGGGGCACCTGTAGCCTTGGCTTCTCTGTGAGTAACTTGCAGGCAGTTTCTGTGTGAGGGAGGAGAGTAAATGCTCTCTGGGCAGTCTCATTCTCCGGTGGGACAGCAGGATGCCTGGGTTTGCTTCCTTGGGAGAAAACAACAAGCAGTGAGAGGAGGAACTACAGCTAACCCTTGGAAAAAACATGCACTGGCAATGCATGGCCTGAAGTGAATGACCAGCACAGGGTGGTAAAACAGGCTTGAGCAACGTGAATAACCCAAAAACCCGGATCCCCCAGGGCGCAGCGGGAAGAGGTAGCAGCGTCGGGTTGGCAGAACCACCGGGCGGCGGCCAAGGTGAACAAATTCCTGTCTGAATCTGGTTTTCTTCCCGTTTAGGTGATACTGAGCAGGAGCTGGGACCCCCTCCGTCCGTAGATGAGGCAGCAAACACACTCATGACTCGCCTGGGCTTCCTCCTCGGAGAGAAAGTCACGGAGGTTCAGCCAGGGCCCCAGTACAGCATGGAGGTGCAGGACGAGAACCAGGTACGACCCTCCCCCTGATCCCTGCTGGTTGGGATCTCTCTGGAGCACGGCAGAGGGTGGTTATTGCCCGATTCCACGGCAGGCAAGTGTCTCCCAGTGGTGCTGGGCTAAGGGCTGTGTCCCCTCGTCCTGCAGTGACTCATCCTTGGGGAGCAGCGGGACGCGGGTCAGGGATCAGCAAAAAGGCTTCTGTTGTTTCTCTGCCGCCGCAGATGTAGGAGTGGGCAGCGTTGCTAATCAGCTTACAGTGACCAGAATAAGCTGTTCTTGCCTCTGTCTTCACTGTGGTGTGTTTTTCAGGAGTGCTTTAGTGGTGTTACATAAAGGCTCCCGGGCTCTCTGCACGAGGCAGAGGGATGGGGTAATAGCCTGATTTTACAGATAGTCACAGTTCTTGCTCGTGTTTGCCCAACAAGGTGATTTCATGCTTGAAAACAGGTAGAGAAGGCAAATCATAAAATCTTTATTGTGATGGAGCTTGTTACGATCCCCCTGGCTGGCTGGAAAGCAGAAATCCTCCAGGCTGTGATATGGATTTTGTGGAAAGTGCCTGAGCCTGAATTTCTCCCTTCTCCTCCTCAAGCCTGGACAATTTACAGCGTTGGTGAGATGAGAATGAAACCAGGAGACATTTTCCATCCCCATTTTTTTTTATGAATTGACAGGTGGATAGCCCAATATGTAGCAGAAGAGGATGAAACTCAGCAAACACTTGTAATTCTCTCTTGTTTTAGCAGTCATCGTGCGACTCTGCTCAGGTCACTCAGATATTTAGCACAGGTGTAATTCAGAGGACCTGAATTCCTTAAGAGGTGGTGAAAAGTGGCAGCCAGGAAGAGCCTGTCCTCAGCCCAGGAAGGACATGGACCGTGGCTGCCCCATCCCTGCAAGTGTCCAAGGCCAGGTTGGCTTGACTGACACAAAAGGTTTTTGATCTCCTGGGCTAAAGTTTGCCTGAGAGCCAAGAAATGTAGTTTTGTCAAGCTTTTGCCTTTAACACATGCACATTTTAACACTTTCATTCAATTTTTTTAATGTGAGTTGTGATGGATTTGAAATGGACTTTACTATACATTGGGCTAGAAAATGTCCTTTTAACAGGCACCTATTTGAACTGAATACTTCAAAGCCAAGTGGAGCTTTCTACTGTAAATGGTTCCTTTTGTTGTTGCCTTTTGACAAAAATTAAATTCCCATCTTTTCTCTAAAGCCAAAGATGTCTTTGGAGAATAAATAAAAGAAAAATCTAAAGAGAAACAGCGGAGAGTTGTCCTCTAAAATAGATTGGTATCTTGGGCTGTGTGCTAATTTTTGCACGAAAAAGTTTTCCAGGGCCTTTGAATGCTATTCATGTGCTGGAGAAGATAAAGAGAGGCTGGTTCCTCAATTACCAAGTTAATTTTTTCCTTTCTTTGTGAACGTCTCCTGCTGTCAGCACTTGCCCAGAGTCTTGGAATACTCAAGGTTGGAAGTGACCTCAGGAGTCATCCCATCCCATCCCATCCCAGCTGGAGCCAGGGCTGGCTGCAGGGAGGGACTGTGGTGCTCAGGGCATGTCCAGGCAGGGTTTGGAAATCTCCATGGGTGGAGAATCCATGGGCTCTCCAGGCAGCCTGTCCCAGGGTCGGCCACTTCAACTGTGCAGAACTTTTTTCCTCCGATAGAAAATTTCCTCGGTAGAACCCGTGGCTGTCGCTCCTTGTCCTTTCCCTCTTTTCACTTCTGAGAGGAGCGGGGTTGTGTCATCTCTCCAAACCCCTGCAGACAGTGGAAGGCTGCAGCTGTGCCTGGATCCAGTGTAGGTGTCCCTTCTCCAGGCTGAATGAACCTTCTCCATCAGCTTCTCCTCCTCCTCTCCATCAGTGTCTCATCCTCCTCTTGCCTCTTCCTTTTCTCCATCAGCCTCTCCTCCTCCTCCTCCTCCTCCTCTCCATCAATTTTGCCTCTTCCTCCTCTCCACTGCCCTCTCCTCCTACCTCAGCCCTACCCATCCCACATTTTTGGGACCCTCCTCTGACTCTTCCATCTCCCACTGGCTGTGCCAGGACACAAATCCTGTCCAAGCTGAAGTTGCTCCTGAATTGCAGCAAATCTTGGGAAAGCCTCTCCAAGTCTCCTTCCCAAATCCAGTTTCTTCTGCTACCCTACGTCAAGTCGTGTTGAAAATCACACAGTGAGACATTTAGGGGATTTGCAAAGATTAATTCTTCTATTACTCAGTGATTAATTAAAATCTGATTGAGACTTTGACAGTTGGGTAGGTTTTATGCGTTAATTTGCAGGGGCTGGGCAAAGAAAACATTCCTTGTTGAAAACTGCTGCTTGTTATTCCAGCCATGCTTTGCCTTCTCAGGCAATGATTATTTGCCATCTCACCAGTGCTTGAGCTGGAGGGAAGGTAAGGGATGGAGATGTTTGCACTGAAACAGCCCCAATCTGTTCATCTCCCTGTTGCTTTTCCTCCAGTTGCCTTATTTTGAATGTGTCCAAGGATTTAATCTCTAATCCAGATTGCAGTTATTTAGAATGTTTTCTGTGCTGTCTCTTAATGGTGATTTCCTTGTTGAGGCATCCCAAATGCTGAAGATTAAATCCTTTCTCTCTTACTTTTTGGGGAACTCTTTTCTGGCTGCACTGGCTGCCAGAGCAGCACAAAGGACACCCAAAGCTCTGGCAGAACAGGGTAATTTTTCCAAGCTTAGTGAAAATGTGACAGATGAAACAGCAGCAATAATAATACAGAATGTTCTGTCAATGGAAATTTATATTTAAAACTCGCAGAGAGGAACATTTTTCTGTATCAATACAAAAATAAAACATGTCAATCAACGCCAAGTGATATACCATGTTACTTTATTATTTCCAGTCGCAAGGAGCTTGTTCTTCAGGAGCTGCATTGATAAAACTGCAAATAAAGGAACTTATATCACTTCTGGCATTTCATGAAACAATAGTGTTATCAGCTGGAGGGAGGATGAGTGTACCATCCCTGCACTGAATTTTAATTTGCTTTAAAGTGCAGTGTTTTCTGTGATTTAAAGTTAGTGGATGTTATTTTGTACTGAGATAAGTTTCAGTGGGGATTTGTTTAAAATGACAGTTAAAACAAAAAGACACAGAATAACTTCACCCTAAGGAATTTATAACAGTCATAAAGCTTCATGTTCTGGAAGGTGCCACATGTGAGCTGATGGAACTTTTAGATGCTGTAGTTTAAGGTTGGAAGGCATCTCTGGAGATCATCTACCTGGCACAGGTTGCCCAGAGAAACTGTGGCTGCCCCTGGATCCCTGGAAATGTCCCAAGGCAAGGTTGGAAAAAAACGCTGCAATGTTTGCTTTGAATGCTGACACACAAATTGTTTCTAATTTGGCCACTAGAACGAACAGAACTAATGTTGGAGAATTACAAGCAGATTCAGAAAAAACCAGGAGGGTGTTTAGGCATCTGAGGAGATGGGGAAGGTTCGTGGGGAGACAAGGCTCGTGACAGGTGATGTAACAAACGTGTGAAACCAGAACATGCAGGGAGCCAGAATTCCCAGAGCTCTCAGCTTGCCTGCAGTTGCTGGAAGGCACTGGGGGGGAAAAGTGTTGGTAGGTGCCAAGAACGTGAAAGAATGGAAAATAACAATAAGTGGGATCCAGATGAGATGGGGAGAGCAGAGCCTTGGTTTGCCTCTCCCGAGTGGTTCGAGGGGTGATGGTGTGTGGGTGATCCTGTTCTGGTGTATTTTAGAATCACAGCATCATTAAGTCTGGAAAAGACCTCCAAGATGATCAAGTCCAACCTTTGACTGAAGCCTACCATGCCCACTAGAGCAAATCACAGAGGGCCACATCTGCTTGTTGTCTGAACAGTTCCAAGGGTGGTGACCTGGGCAGCCCCTTCCAATGCCTGACCACTGTTTCAGTGATGAAATTTCCCCTTGTTTCCAACCCTCCTCTCCCCTGGCTCAGCTTGAGGCTCTTCTCCTGTCCCTTGTTCCCTGGGAGAGGAGGCCAACCCCGATGGATAGCGGAGGGAGATTATAAATCCTCCTGGAAACCCCCACCCGCTTCGTTGGGATCTCTGTGTCAAACACACAGTCCCTCCGGCAGAGCTGTGACATTGGCACTGCCTCCCTGCCTCGCTGATGTGCTGATCCACATTTGGGATGCTCTGGAATTGAGTTGACATCGATTCCCCTCTCCCTGGCCTGAGAGCAGAGGGGCTGCCCCGTCCCCCCCTCCACTGCCGGGGATGCTCCGTGTTGCCTCCGGTCACACTCCGAGGAAGGATTTTTACAACTCCCGTTGGATAAAGTGGGATTCTTCCTGGTAGCTGCACACAGTAGCTGCCTTCTGATTTAAAAACCAGTAAATCTTTCCATGTTCTGCTTGCAAAAGTCCATCCTAGATGTTTTTTTTTTAAGCTTCAGGTACGGAACAGCGAGGAGGAAATAAAATTGGGTGTCAGGCCTGTTCTGCAGTGCTCACCTTGGGTTCAAATGCCACAAAGGAAGGGAATACAACATTTGTAGAGCACAATAAAACCTGCAGCCCCACTGAGGGTTCTGGGCAGGAGGAAACAGCCCAGAGGTCTTTGTAGGATTTGCTGGATGTGATGTTCCTTGCTGTAGATGAAGGTGAGACCCCACTGTGTGCTTCCCACTGGGAGATCTCCACTTCAGCAGAGGCTCAGAATTTAGATCTCTATCCTGATTTTTGCCTTTTTCTTTAAGCTTCCAATTAAAAAAATTCCTGATCAAGTATGGAATCAAGCTTGTGGTAGACACCACTGGTTATGTTTTCCGTGGTTCCCGTCCAACGTGGAAGTTGGAATCTCCAAAGGAGAAAATGAGCCTGGTGTCTGTTTGCCACAGGTTGGGGGGGGTGGCCCAGGGGAGGTTTTGAACCAGTAAAGCGATTTTTGCCTTCCCCACGCGGAGCAGGGCGAGTGTGAGCTGTGAAGGAGCCCTCACAGACGTGTCCCCCTCCCTTGCAGAGCTCGGCGGTGACGCAGCGCATCAGCCCCTGCTCCACCCTGACCAGCAGCACGGCCTCGCCGCCCGCCAGCAGCCCCTGCTCCACCCTCCCTCCTGTCAGCACCAGTGTCACGGCCAAGGACTGCACCTACGGAGCCGTCACCAGCCCCACCTCCACCCTGGAGAGCCGGGACAGCGGCATCATCGGTGAGTGCCCGGCCTGAGCGCTCCTCATCTGCAGGAGTGTCCCGGGATGGGGTCGGTTTGCAGCCGTGGAATCCCGGGATGGTTTGGGTTGGAGGGGATCTGCAAGATCTTTCAGTTCCAGGGGCTTCCACAGAACCTTCCAACCTTCCACCAGCCCAGGTTGTTCCAAGCCCCGTCCAACCTGGCCTTGGACACTTCCAGGGATGGGGAAGCCACAGCTTTTCTGGGAATTCCATTCCAGCCCCTCACCACCCTCACAGGGAGGGAAGAATTCCTTCCCAATATCCCATCTAACCATGCCCTCTGGCAGTGGGAAACCATTCCCCCTCGTCCTGTCCCTCCAGGCCCTTGTCCCAAATCCCTCTCCAGCTCTCCTGGAGCCCCTTTAGGGCCTGGAAAGGGTTTTAAGGTCTCCCTGGAGCCTTCCTTTCCCCAGGCCAAACAATCCCAGCTCTTCCAGCCTGTCTCCAGAGCAGAGGGGCTCCCAGCCCGCTTGGCATCTCCATGACCACCTCTGGACACGCTCCAGCAGATCCACATCCTTCCCATGTTGGGACCCCAGAGCTGGATGCAGCGCTCTATTTAGATAATAGATATTATTTAGGTAATACCCTTCTATTTGCTAATTAGGGGGGTGATTTTGTACTATTCAAGTTAGAACTGCAGTGACCAAGGTGAACTGGACCTTACATAGTAGCTGGTGAAAACTGGGAGGTAAGAGGTTGATAACTTTGCATCAATTAATTTACTTTTGGATCTTATTTATATGGTGAAAGAGGAAGCCTCGGGCAGAGCTGGGTTAAATCAGCACAAATATCCAGGTGCTCTAGCAGGTTTTTTCCTTGGGTGGTCTGTAGGTTGTAAGTGTAAAGAATCTGGAGGAAGTAACATGCACAGATTAATTTCTGTTTAATAGCTGGAAAGGCACAATGGGAGAACATGAATGTGACACCAGGCAGGATGGCCCTCGCTTGGTTGTCCCTGCCATGAGTTGTATGTTGAGTATTTCTCCAGCCTGGGAAGATTTTACTTCGCCAGCAGTTCATGTAGTGTTTAAAAAAAGAAGAAGAAAGGCAGGTTGATAATTTTGGGAGGTTTGTTGCACCAGTGATTAATATTTTGCTTGGCTGATCAGGTAATCTGGGCTTAGTTCAGGCTCCTGGGTGCCACAGCAACCCTTGCAGCGCTTCTGCCTGCGTGATCTTCAAATGCAAATGGGTGAGCTATTCTGAGCCGCTGCCAAAGTAGGTTAATGAATCCTTGGGAAGAGTCACTGCAGGATCCCACCCCCTCAGCTCTGTGCTCACAGAGGGGCTTTGGGTGGCCTCTGTGCTTCACCTGGCTGGCAGAGAAGCATCAGCACCATCCCAGTTCCTGGCACGATGAGGTGTCGAACCCTTTTGCTCTTGACTCCCAGCCCTGCCCCTCTGTTCAGTAGGTCTGTAGGAATTAATTTTTAAATCTGATACATTTTGTTTCACCTTTCACAAGGAAGGTTCTCTCTTAAAGGTTCTCCTGTCGGGATCTTAAGATTTTCCCGTGGAAACTTTGGAAATAATAGAAGGTGGCCTATCCCAAGGCTACGTTAATGCATCCCAGATGGAAAAGTCGTGTCCAAATGAGCTGGTGGGGGATAGTGGAAGCACTTTTCAAGGCTTTCCTCTGCCAGTGTTTTCACTCCAAGGAAGACAAGGTCTTCTTTCCTCCCTTGTTTCCTCTCCCCCTTTATTTTGACAATAACATTTTCAACACCTTATCCTGGGGTTTGACAGAAGCTGAACAGCTGTAACAAATGGTGTGGAAAAAGCTCTTCTCCAGCCAGGCTTTCCAGCAGTGAAAAAATTGGGAGGTTTTCCACAAAGCCTGATTTTGTGCACCCCCAGCCTGTCCTGCAGGTGTAAGGTCAGTGGCAGCAAAGGGGAGGTTGTTCCCCCTGGGAGGTGGGTGCAGTTTGACCATTCCCCTCCCACTGGGATGGGAATTGGGTGTGCACGGGTGGGAAAGGTGCTCCCTGTTTGACAGCAATTCCCTGGAATTGTTTGCACTGGGGAGGAGACAAATATTCCACCTGTGGGATGCAAAACCCACCTCATGTTCTTCTTAACTGCCCACCAAGGTGGACAGAGTTTTGGTGTTGTAGTCTGGATGTCAAGACTGAATCTTAACCAGTCAGGTTTTCTCTGATGACTTGTCCTCCTGGAGTTATTCCTGTCCCTTTTTATGTCACCTCTTACATAATTTCAGTTATTAGAGAACAAGTGTGTCCTGTCTCTGATCTGCACAGTGCAGGGACTGTTTCATGGCTTTAATAAATGCATCAATTGGCTTAAAACAGACTGACTTTGAAATTTTTGAGCCTCTGCGGGTAAAGGGAAGCTCAGTCTGAAAAAAAAAAGTTACAAAGTCCAGATCTTTACATTCAGGTATTCCTTATTTGTAAAAGAAAAGCAGTGGGGAAGGGGGCAGGAGGGGAGCCAAGAGGAGAGGCAGGAGCAAGCCAGCCCTTTCTCCTGGATGCCACAGAATCCTGTCCGTGTAAAACAGGATGGCTGGTGAAAATCCTGACCTGACTGTAACCCCTGAACGGCTTCCAGGATTCTTTGGCTCTCGCTGCGTAAAAGCAGCCAACTGTTAATGTTGAGAAATCTGCTACTGAAAAGAAAACTGGTCAGAGATTCACGTGCTGCTCCGGGGGAACTTTGCACCTCACGGCCCCACCGACGTGGGCTGGAGAGCTTTGCTGCTGGAACGCAGCAGAACAGGGGAAAATCCCCACCAATCTTAACAATCCTGCAGAATGGACCAGCAGACGCTTCTTGCCACTGTGCAGAGCTTACCCAGGTGATGTTCAAAGCAGCTCTTGATGCCATTAGCAAACACTCTCCTGAGGGAAGGAAAGGCTGTTTTCCGTGTGGCATCTTCCCATGGAAGTGCTGTCACTCAGCTCCAGATGAGATGGGGCCCCCCTGCTCCTTCATGCTGAGCCCTGTGATGACCTGCACTCTGTTCCCTGCTGGCTTGTCATGGGATCATCCTGAGCAGGGACACAGGTATGTTGGAAAAGCAGCTTAAAGGGGAGGCAGGTGAGCTGTGGAAATCCTCCTGCCCTGGTGACGTGCACGGCTCTGATACCGTGTGGACCAGTCGCCTTCACTTAGATTTTTGTGGATTTATTAAATGAGAAATGACACGTAAAGGAGCCCTGTCCCCTCCTGGGAGTCCCTGGCATGTAGCTTTTCCCCTCTTAGTCTTTTTTTGCTGTTTTTTCCTCTTGATTCCTGAGCTTTTGTCAAGATGCTGCTTTCAACAGATGTATGTGTTCGTGGGTTAAAAATAGGTTTGTTAATAAATTCACCTAAGTGCCTGCTAAGCAGAATAGATGCTGCTGACAATAAAACAAGATGGATTTGTTTGCAACTTTAACTGCTTTGAGAAAGGAACAAAGAGCAGCTCCAAAGGCACATCAAGATAAATTTATCTCAGGTTAAATATTTTTGTGATCTTACAGTTAAAGCATTTGAATTCTGACACTCTCATCAGTATTATGAAATGCTCTGTTAATAATGAATAAGATTTCTGAGAATTACAGATCTTTTTTTGAATCCAGCCAGCTTCCATTTGGGCTTGTTGCAGAGCCAGAAGGTCCCCCCTGAGCCTCCTTTCTTCCAGGCTGAGCCCCCCCAGCTCCCTCAGCTGCTCCTGCTGCTCCAGCCCCTTCCCTGGACACGCTCCAGCCCCTCAGTGTCCTGTTGGGGTTTTTATGATGTTTTCGTAAATCAGCCGTTAAGACTGTTACCTCTGTGTTAGATTTGGGACCTTTTTAACAGATTTATTTCATGTTTACAGTAGTGGACTGTGCTTAACAGCATCCATTGCTTTGTTTCTGCCAGTGATAAGCTGCAGTTTATAAACTGAAGCTGGGCTGAGCTCTTCTGTCTCACGGTGTTTGCAGGGACTTGGGCTCTGGTGGTGGGAGTGCCTGGCTCTGTTGAAGTGCTGCTTTATCTAGACCTTGCATTTCTGACCTGAGGAGCAGGCAGGTCTGAGGTCTGGGAGGCATTCATCCCATTCCTCATCCCATTCTTCATTCCCATTCTTCATTCCCATTCTTCATTCCCATTCTTCATCCCATTCTTCATTCCCATTCCTCATCCCATTCCTCATCCCATTCCTCATCCCATTCCTCATCCCATTCCTCATCCCACTTGGCAGCCAGTGCAGCAGGGGACTCGGATTTAGAGCAGAACTGATTTAGGGTCAGCGCGGTGCTGCTGTCGACGTGTTTTTCATTACGTTTCAAGACCTTTCGTGTGCTCACCCTGATTTATAAAACCTCCAGGCTTGGCACAGAAATGGCTTTCACCTGTTTTAATCTCTGTCTATTTACAGGATTGTTTATATGAATTAAACCAGTGATTTTAATTCGTGGGTTTTTTCCCTCTTATTTGAGATTTGCGTTGAAAGAGAAATCAAATCTCCGGCGAGCCGTGTGGATTTTGACCTCAAGCCTCGAGCAGGGCCAGACTTAAACATTTTGGGGGTTTATTTTGTTTTTTACATGGATATGCCTTAAACCCTCTGGCTGGTGGTGTCCAGCAGAGACTATATGATGTTCTAAAGGTGCTCCAGGGTTGCTGGGGCACGGGCTGCGTGTGACCTCCTTCCCTCGGGAAAGGTTTGGACTGATGCTTCCTGCCTGCCAAATTTCTCTGTTTGGCAGCTGGAGCGGTCTGGGCCGGCGTGGCTATATTTAGGTGTGTCCCTCTGTGGCTGAGTTTGTGAAGGCTTACGTAGATTAGGGTAAAAAATTTATTTCACTCCTTGCCAACTCGCACATGTTGGCTGGGCCGTCTCTGATGCGATGAGGCAAGTGGTGCTGGAGACGAGGGGAACGAGGTTAATTCAGCCTGGGTTTGGAGCTCGTTGCAGGGCAGAATATTGAAGCTCGTTGCTTTGCTGCAGTTACTTCTTTGAAGCAACAAAATCCCTGCTTCCTGCTCGAGACACTGTAAATCTTCACATTTAATTAACGTTACCGCTGTTGGTCATCGGCAGGTGGGACCCGCAGAAAACTCTTCTCCTGCAGTTCCAGCTGGCAGGGGAAGGTAAAGGTTGATGTTTGCCAGGCGTGGTCTTTGCCTGGAGGAGAATTGGATGGGATGGCAAAAATCCCCTCGTGTGTTTGGCTGGAGACAAGTTCAGTTGAAAGGCTCCTGCCCCAGGGCAAGCTTAGGCCAGCTTGCAGCTAAATGAGAAATAATATCTGTGGCCTGTAAATACATGAAAGTCTCTGAGCAGTGTGGTGCTGTCTGCAGTGACTGAGGTGCTGTCTTGGGGGGCTGCTGCTGTTCAGCTCTGGTATTTCCCCAAAGAAATAAAAATACTTGCAAAAAGTTCCAATCAGAATGTTTCACCAAAGGGAAACGAGCCAAGCTGGGAAAGGAAAGTTTGACACAGGCGAGTCCTCTGCCAAGGAAATGCAGGAGTGAATCCTGAGCGCTCAAAGCAAGGTGGGAAAGGACTCCAGGATCTCTGGAATGTGTTCCCTCCTGACATGACAGTCCCAAGTGGCTTCAGATGTGCCCCTCGGAGCTGGTGCAGGTGGTGCTTGTGCAGAGGGTGGGTTGGGATCTTGGGGATCAGAGATGCAGCAAAGCCTGGGAGAACGAGGATGGGGAAGGGCCTTGATTTGAAGCCGTGTGAGGATGCTGAGGGCACTTGGTGTGTTCAGCTGGAGAAGAGGAGACTGAGGGGAGAGCTCATTGCAGTTCCAGCTCCCTTGGGAAGGGAAGAGGAAGGGCAGGCACTGAGCTCTGCTCTGGGGGAAGCAGGGACAGCCCCCAGGGAATGGCTGGAGCTGTGTCAGGGCAGGCTCAGGTTGGATCTCAGGGAAAGGTTCTTCCCCCAGAGGGTGGTTGGCACTGAACAGGCTCCCCAGGGCAGTGGGCACAGCCCCAAGGCTGCCAGAGCTCCAGGAGGGTTTGGATGATCCTCTGGGGCACAGGGGGGGACTCTTGGGGATAGTCCTGTGCAGGGCCAGGAGTTGGACTGGGTGATCCTTGTGGATCCCTCCCAGCTCAGCATATCCTGTGATTCTGTGGAAGCTGAGGGCAGGATTGCAGAGGGGCACCATGCTGCCTATGCCCTCTCACCCAAAGGGCTTCCCATCCATTAGCATATTTTACAGCACTCAGATGGTTTAGATGCTTCAAATTCCGTGTATTTTCACACTGCACAGTGTGAGACCGGAGACACATCTCCATGTCTATAAATACGTAGATATTTATGCACACACGTCTGTATTTATATCCCTGTGCTATTACTTGGGTGCTGTGGAGAACCTCAGCTGTTTGTGCCCATCAGGTTCCTCCTGCTCTGGGTGTGACTCACACCATCTTACCCCATCTTACTCCATCCCTGCGAGGTCTCATCTGCCCCCAGCAGCCACCAGCACGTGCCGTGGTCGGTGCGATCCCAGGGAGCAGGGCCCCGGCATGGCAAGGGGGGTGCTTTTATTTTCCACCAGGGTTGTGCTTCTGGGCTGGATTTGGCAGTGGAAGAGCTTCAGGTGTTCTCCCGTGGCCTCTCCCCGTGCCCTGGTGTAACGTGTCCCATCACGTAACCCGATGCACTGCGGAGTCTTGGGGGTTGAAGGATGTGCCTCCCAGCAGGTGGCTCGAGGCAAAAATTCCTGCTCTTTGATGGATTGGAGGTCACCAGTTTATCTCTTCCCCACTTCAGAGCACAGTGTCTGTCAAAGGTTGCATTTTTTTTTTTTTTTTGAGCTTCTGGTTGATGACGTTTCCTTGAGTTTGAAAGTCGTAGAATTACAGGTGGTTTGAGTTGGAAGGGACCTTTACAGAGCAGGTAATTCCAGGTGCCACATCCACACATTTGGAAGACTTTCCAGGGGTGGGGCCTCCACTGCTGCCCTGGGCAGTCTGTTCTAGTGCTTGACCACCCTTTCAGGGAAGAAATTTTCCCTGATATCCAACCAAAACCTTCCCCTGGTGCAACTTGAGGCCGTTTCCTCTCACCCCATCGGACTAGATTGGGATGGAGTGGAATGGAATAGAATAAGAATGAGAATAAGAATAAAACATTTCAGTGGGAAGGAACCTACAATGATCATTGTGTCCAACTCCCTGACCCTCTCAGGGCTGCCCAAATCTTTGCCACTTCCATTGTATTTTTGCCAGCTTGGCACTCCCAGCTTTTCCCTGCTGAACACCAAACTGCATCAGCCTTAGTAGTTGCAGATAATGGGAATTTTCTCAGATTAGGGTCACACTGTGGATAAGTTTTATCCCCCTGAGATGTGCTCTATGTGTCAGTTCACGTTGCTGACTCAGAACTAACCCGATGCCTTTGCCTTTTAACTAAAATTAAAATTATTTTGGTTTAACATGGCTCCTAGAAGAGATTAAATGCACAGGACCATCACTTCAGCCTGTGTAGCAGCACTTAGATCATCCAGGGCTGTTCAGCAGGTAAATTAATCCACAGGGAACAATCCTAAATACCTGATTCAGTGACGAGTTTGCACATAAAACAGCGTTAGTGTAAACCAGTGAAAATTATGTTTCAAATGAACACAAATTGTCAATTAGAAAAGGGGCCAGCAGGACTTATTAGCTCTTTTTTTTTCTTTTTTTTTTTTTGTTGCTTCATTTAGAGAAAACTTATTTTGACACATAGTTATTTTGTTTTTCCTCAGTTTGATGTGTTGGAAGATGACTGATGGCAGCTGCTGATTTGTTTCTACAAAGATTAATTAGACACATACTGAGATAGGCTTTTAAAATTAATGGATTTTAATGGATCAATGGATTTTTTTTCCCCCCTGTAAATAGACAACCTAGTCTGCCTGCCCTGCAGACCCAGACTTTGAAATGGAGATTTTTCTAGAAAACCATTTCACACGTATTTCGTAAGCAATTCGAAGGACCAAGAGAAGTCTGTGAACATCTGTTTTCTGTTTTTATCTAATTTTTCGTATCCTGAATTGTAAATGTGTTTACCTGACAGCAAACCTATGTTTAAATGCCAACAAACAAATACCATTTCTTAGCAGTTGCATGTGTTGGTTTTAAAATTTCAAAACACGCTGCAGACAACTACATTTTGGAACATTTCGTGGGATGCAAAGATGCTGATCCCACTGCACAGGCAAGAAACCCAACAGTGAGAAATAAAGCCGTAGAAACAGGGAGTTACAGCCAGTGGGAAACCTCATCAGGACCCAGAAGAGAAAATACCAACAGGGAGAAGCTGGTGGTGGTGTGGATCGATAGTATTGCCACTTCCCAATGTGAAAGTCAGTGCAGCAGTGCTCCTCACCTGTAAAATGAAATAATCGAAGGGAAAATGGGTGGATTACAGTTCAAGCTTCGTAAAAAAAACCTGCTGTCAGTCAGATGAGACGAGGGGTTCAGCTGCTGAACCAAACTAATCCGTGGAGCTGGTGGTTTGGGCAGGTCGGCGGGGGCTTCTCAGTGTCACAGGGTCCTGCAAATACCTCCCTGCAAAGGTCACAACTACAGTGCAGATGAAAAGACAGGAGGAGCCTTGATCATGTTTCTTCCCTGGCAGTTCCTGCTCTTTCTGGAACGGCGCATTTTGGACCCAGAATATTTAATACTCTCCGTAATTACAAATGGCTTTTAACAGTATGAGCCAAAACACGAGAGCTTAAATGTTCTTTTAGAAGTCGTAAGCGGCAACAGTATCATTAAACTAAAATCCATAATCTCTGATTTATGTGGATGTGGAAAGTCTGATGGAGCTCAGTTCTGGCTTCGGCGCTGGAGCAGCGCGCGCGCGCTCAGCCATTCCTGCCCCGTTACTCACTTTGTTTATCATCTCTCTCCCTTTCCAGCCACTTTGACGAGCTACTCCGAAAACGTGGACCGCACCAAGTATGGAGGGGAGAGCAGTAAAGAGCTGGGATCTGGAGGAAACCTGAAGCCTTGGCAGTCCCAGAAATCCAGCATGGACTCCTGCCTGTACCGCGTGGACGAGAACATGACGGCCTCCACCTACAGCCTCAACAAAATCCCCGAGAGGAACCTGGAGACCGTCCTGTCCCAGTCGGTGCAGTCCATCCCTCTTTACCTTATGCCACGGCCAAATTCAGTAGCAGGTAAGGAAGCCACGTTTGTGCCTTTGGGTCACACAGCACCTTCTTGTCGCAGCACCTTCGTGTGTCCTCCTCCTTATCCAAGCAGAAATCTCCTTTCTGGGGTCGTCGTCGTTAAGAGGGACAAAAAATTAGTCTGTTTGTTTGGCTTATTGTTTCTAAATGGAAAATTCCTGTTGGTGGGGGGAAATTGGTTCTGATGATGCTCAATGGGTTATTTCAGCAGTTTGTGGTCCCTCTGTGACAGAATTGTCCAGCTGTAAGATTATTGGAGAATATGTTCAAGGAGAAAAGGTTCTTTGCTGTCGTTGCAATGCACATATCTCATGTTTAAAGTGCCAAGGCATCACAGCCATTTCTGCTATTTTGAAGGATTCATTGTGAGTAAAATCAAGTGTCTGATCTTCTCTGAAGAGCTTTGGAGTTAAGAGAATGATGGGACTTTCTGCCTACACGAGGTTGGCTCTGGGTCCCACCTCTCGTGGTGGCCTTTGCCCCGAACATCTCAGCACACAGGTGTCCTCACACCTCACAGCACCTGGGGCTTGCTGACGATGAAAATCTTTTGTCTTGGCGTCAAGCCAACATTATTTTAATTTAAATTCCTGTCTGCTGTTCGAAACATTCCAAAATGATGCTGTGCCATGCCTTGCTGATGTGTTTTCCTGGCCTGCTGAGTGTCCCCCTGAAGCTGGTGACAGCAGGGCAGAAACAAGAGATGGGATTAAAAATATTAAAGCTGCTTGCCTGGAATTATTCCCCTTTTCCTTTATTGCCCCATATTTTTTTTCTTGCTGGGTGACTTCTCTGAGGTGAAACATTCTGGTGCTGGTGTGTCTGTATAAGCACGTGGAGAAATCCAGGCTTTGAATTCCGAGTCCCTGTGGATTGTCCCGCTGCCTGGCAGCAGGAATGCTGCTCCAGAAAGTCCAGGGATGGAACTGAGAGATATCCCAGGATGCTGTGTGTTAAATCAGCATCCCTGTGTTGCATAACTGGATTAGGTTCCCTTTTTAATCCCACTTTGGCCAGTCACAGACCTGAAAGCGATGTCGAAATGAGATTTAGAGATGCTGGAGTAGCAACAGCCCGAGCATGGGGGTGCAGCACAGGCTGAAAACCTGCATTTCAGGCTGGAAAGAAGGGTTGGGGAAAAACCTGGAAAGCTCTGCTTGCACAGCCTGATTGCTTTAGAGTAATTTCTCATAAATGACACGGTGCAAACACCTTCCAAAGCAAGCAGGGTGGGTTGGGCATGGTGAATTTAAATGCACATGTTTTGGTTTAATTAACTTTCAGAGTTGTTGCCTTGCTTGGTGCATTCAGAGACAAATATTATTTCCAGAGAAAACTACCCAGCAAGGTTCAGAAACACCTTTTCCTTCTGGATTTCTTTTTTGGGGGGAGTTTTTGCTGCTTCCTATGTCAGCTGACACCGTTCATGTCCCAGGATAAATCGTGGTGGTTACTGTGGACACGAATACAAGATGTGCCTTTTAACTTTTTATCACCCAATCCTCACATATTGGCTCCTGTAAGCTTATGGCACCAGAAAATTCTTGGTTTAGAATGGATTTATGTGGATGTTTTTTCCCCAGACCGTTTAACCCCGTTATCTTTGTGCTTGAATGATGGGAAAGGGAAACCAGGTGTAGCTTTTGGGGTTGATTTAAGCCACTGCCCAAAGAGTTAATCCTGAGCTGCCAATTCCATGTCCTTGCTCCAGCTCCACACATGGGATAACCACCTGATAAACCAGATTAGCTGACTAATCCAACTGAAAATGAACCCTCCAGAAAATTGGTGTATTAATTTATAACCTCAAGGTCGCCAGTGTGGAGGCAAAGCGTGGCTGGGCAGAAAGCTGCCTTTCTTTTAGTGGCATTCCACTGTAATTCCACATTTGAAGGTAATCATGAGATCACAGCTTTGCTAAAACAGGCTCTTCTTGTCTAATTTTTTCTTGTCTCTCTCTTTTTTTTTTTTTTTTTCAAATCCAGTTGAATTTGTGTACAAACAAAGTCTGTTCTTGGGAACCCAAGCATGGCAGCGCTTACACCTCTTGTAAGCTTTTTTTTCTTTTTTTTTTTCTTTAAGATTCTCCCAGAATATCTTCCAAAACAGCACAAAAATGTTCTTTCTCACAGCAGCTTGCAAAGAGCAGTCACTGAATGTCAGCAAGCAGGTTACAACTGGGAGCAGCTCTTACAATCCATAATCTTTCCTGTGGGGGTGATGAGGCCCTGGCACAGGTTTTCCAGAGAAGCTGTGGCTGCCCCTGGATCCCTGGAAGTGTCCAAGGCCAGGTTGGACGGGGCTTGGAGCAACCTGGGCTGGTGGAAGGTGTCCCTACCCATGACAGGGGGGTGGAACTGGATGATCCTTAAGGTTCCTTCCAACCCAAACCATTCCATGATTCTGTGATTATTCTCATCTTGCACTTTGTCACATAATGTATCTTCAGTTTAAAAGTTGGACATTCAGGTCTTTGAAGGAACAGGGATTTCTTAGGGAACTTTGCATTTCGTGGACACAAAGAACGTCCCGTTCTATTCCCGTCACCCGTGAAATGAAACGTGAAATCTTGTGTTACCCAAAAACCACATTCATGGTTTATAAGGTCTGTTTAAATATTAATAGGGAATTAAAATGCCCTTATATAATATACCAGCTCTGCTCTTTTTGCTGTTGGAGAGTATAAAATAGCAGCAAATGTATTATCAGTGACAAACTTGAATGGAACTGGAATGGTATCAGAGAATCACAGAGTGGTTTGGGTTGGAAGGGACCTTAAAGATGATTCGGTTCCACCCCCCTGCCATGGGCAGGGACACCTCCCACCAGCCCAGGTTGCTCCAAACCCCGTCCAACCTGGCCTTGGACACGCCCAGGGATCCAGGGGCAGCCACAGCTTCTCTGGGCAACCTGTGCCAGGGCCTGCCCACCCTCCCAGCCAGGAATTCCTTCCCAATATCCCATCTAAACCTGCCCTCTCAGTTTGAAACTATTATTGTTGCAGGTATTGTTGGCTCTGAGGGCAGGGTTTGCAGAAATACCTGTAAATTCTGTCCTTTTGGGAACATGGCCCTGGCAGGGGAGGTGGAATGAGATGACCTTTAAGGTGAACTGAATCCCTTCCCTCAGACAAGAACAGCAACACCCCCCTGCCCTCTCCCCATCTCCCCCCAGAGACCCCATCTGCAGAGTCCATCCCCCCTCCCTGGGCTGCCAAATACCAATTTCAGCTCAGGATGGTTTGTATTTGTTGCTCAAATAGTGCATTGACACTGAATTATCTTCCACTATTTGCCATTTCCCTGGGAGAATTGCATCTGCAGTATGCAAATATTATTTCTGAGGAGGCACTTTTCCCCTCTGTGGTGTTTTATCTGCAGTCACTGTGTCTCATTATGTGGGATAAGGTTCAGGATTGAGGGGAAGCTTTCAACAGTTTAATATTATATTTTCTAAGATAAATTGATCTTGCATAATTTTTGAGGTGCTGAAGCCTCTTCTCAAGAAAAAAATCGCTCCCAGTTCCTCTGGCCTTAGATCTCTTTAATTATTCCTCAGTTCTAAATCAGGAAGATAAATCTCAGTTCATCCTGAGCCCTGGCAGGGCAGTTACTGACAGTTGGGAAAATAACCCATGGCAAAACTGAAATGGATCTGCAAACAGGCATTGTGTGAGAGTCTCCTCTGTTGTGGCCGTAGATGGTGATGGTGATGAAGGTGGGAAGGGAGCCTGGCTTTGGGCTGCTGAGAAATAACTCCTCGCTTCTTGTAGGGCCAACAGTAAATCAGGCCACTGGCCATCCTACAGCGCCCAAAATCCACCCCTGCAAAACATCTGGGGTCGCAGCTGGTGCTCATCTCACAGGCAGGACAGAGGTGGAAATGAGACCCTTCAGATAACTAAAAGAAAAATAAAATGTCCTGTCAGGATTGAATTCTTCCCAGGAAATGAAACAGTTCTTGTTCTGGAGCAAGCAGAGCTGCTGATGGGCTTTCCTTGAAGAGCCTTAGAGGGGTGGTGGGTTGGGAGGGACCTTTAAAGTCATCCAGTCCATCCCCCTGCTGTGGGCAGGGATGTCTCCACAAGACCAGGCTGGCATGGATGGAGGGATGAGGGCTGCAGGAGGAAGGACCAACCTGCCTGATGTGGCTCCAGGGTACCCTCAGGACACTTGGGAGCTTCCTGGGGGTGCTGCAGTGAAGCTGCTCTTCCCCTGCGGATCCTCTGGCTCAGTGACACAGCAAAACTGGACAGAAATTGCGATGCAAAAGGCTCATTTCAGGGGCCAGGCAGGAGTGACCCTGAGGGTGATGGTGAGAGCTCAGTGCCCACAGAAAATAACCCCTGTCCCTGCTAAAGCCCCTTCTGGAATTGCATCATCTCAGCTCTAATCGATCCTTCACAGTCGGCATCTAATCAACTTTGCACGAGTACAGGAGCATGAAGGACTTCTAAAAACAGGCCTTGATGGTTTTATCCTCCTTGTTTTTTTTTTTTTTTTCCTTCTCCTCTTGTTTGTCTTTTGTCCTCTGTCTCTCTTACTCTCTTCCTTAAAACTTGGGAAAGTTTGAAGAACAGCATTAAAAAATACTGCCCCTTCTCCCCACCCTTATTAGAGTCTGAATCTTGCTTAATTTTGAACTGCAGCACCATCCTGTAAAGGTATTTACGTGGTCATTAAGAATTGTATGGAAAAAAGTGTTTCCCTTAGTTTTGAAATGTTCTGCCTTTCAGTTTTGTTGAATTGTTGCATCTTGTGTTGGGTCTCAGGGAGGAAGGACCCCAAGTCTGGTGCCCTGAGTGACTCTGCAGAGCTGTATCAAAATATTTACCCAATTCCCAGCGAATAATTAACATCAGCTTCACAGGCAGCCTTTGGAAAAGTCATTTAATGAATTAGTTCAATTTAAAATGATAATAATTTTGTTGTGGTAGTTGGCTGAAAACCAAAGAAATAGAAGCAGTACTGCATACAGAGTGCTGAGCAGCCCAGGACCAATTTCCATGGGTTAAATTTTAATGTGAATTTCGGAAATGATTATCAGAACAAGAGCAGAGCTGGTGACCTGCAAAGACTGATTTTAAAGTTTTCTGTTTCTAATTGGAAAGATTATTTCATGCAATGAAGTTTTCATTCCTTTGCTTTTATAATACTCTGTAAATTCCTTGGCTGACAGGGGTCTGAAACGGCAGAATAATGGGTAAATTCAGATGCAAGGAGTCCAAATTTGTTTTGTTAAGCCACATTTTCTCCTGTTTTCCAATCATCACCATGGCAGCAGCTTTGTGGCCAGTGTTAGCTCTAGTCTGCTCCAACTGTGCTTATCCATGTAGTGATAGCACCTTCAGCAGAGACCACTAAATTATTCCTATTCAATCCAGCATTGTAAAGAAAACTAAATTCTCCCATGAGCAAGTCACGTTGGAACAGCAAAGTTATCTTTACTTCAGATAATATTTTTCTCACTTATTCATGTGGTTTTTTTATTTTTTTTTTTGCTGGGCCATTAAAAGTTTAATTTTCCTGCCACTAATTCTGGCTTTAGGGACAGATAAATGTTAATATCCGAATTAAGCAGCTGTAGAATAATTGAAGAGGAGGCTGTGGGCTCCAGCACGAGCTGCAGTGGTGAGTTGTCTTTTACGTAGCAGGAGATGCTGAGTGTCTGTGTCAGCTTTGCACAGACGTGGCCGGGTTTGTGACGGGGAGAGGAGCGAGATCAGATGTAAGAGACTCCACATCTCCCATTTTCCAGGTGCCTGCTTTTATTTGAGGACATCAACAGGCCAAACCGGACCAGACACCAACGGGGCACGAGGAAGAAAGTCACCAGAACACTTCTTTTCTCCTGGCTAAGGGGAAATCGGTTGATCTCAGCTCTGCTGGCTCAGGGTGGTTTTAACTGTGTATTTTGCTGAAAAATCCGATAACCAGAGCGCGAAATGCAAAGCCTGGGTGTGATGCAGTTCTTTGCTCTCTCTCCTGGCAGCCACCAGCTCGGCCCACCTGGAGGACCTGGCCTACCTGGACGAGCAGAGACACACCCCCCTGCGCACCTCGCTCCGGATGCCGCGGCAGAGCGTGGCCGGCGCCCGGGCACAGCAGGACCTGAGAGGTGAGAACTCGGCTCTGGGAATTCCCAGTCGTGGCAGGGGGGAGCTTGGGTTGTCCCTGCTTTGTCTACATCCATGGGAAGGTCAGAAGACCAGAGTCTTTTGGGTTGGAAGGGACCTTAAAGATCACCCAGGGACACCTTCCACCAGCCCAGGTTGCTCCAAGCCCTGTCCAGCCTGGCCTTGGACGCTTCCAGGGATCCAGGGGCATCCACAGCTTCTCTGGGAATCCCATTCCAGCCCCTCACCCACTCCCACAGGGAAGAATTCCTTCCCAGTGTCCAAACTAAACCTACTCTCAGTTTGAAGCCATTCCCCCTTGTCCTGTCCCTCCAGGCCCTCGTCCCAAATCCTTCTCCAGTTCTCTTGAAGCCCCATCAGGTACTGGAAGGGTCTCCAAGGTCTTCCCAGAGCCTTCTCTTCTCCAAGCTGGACACCCCCAGCTCTCTCAGCCAATCTCTGGTGCTCGTGGGGTTAATACTTTGCTAATTTATAAAAAATTAGAAATTTGAATGGACTGCTGTTATTTTTACTTCCTTTTTTTTTTTTTTCCAATCAAAAGCCAAGGTTTGCAGCATCTCCTCCCTTTGCATTTTGCAGGGTGCCAGTGGGGAAAGAGCCCAGCACAGTGACAGGGCCACTGTCCCAGTGTGTCCCTTGTAGGGATGGTCACAATGCCCATATTCAGGCAGCCCTTTGCCTTCTGAAAGGCCTTTTTGAGAGGGGAGATTGCTGTGGTTCTTCCTGGCAAATTCCACAGACAAGACGTTAGCAATGAGAAGAGGAGCCAGGGCTGACATTTTAGTGTTCTGTTTATTCCCAGGCGGCTCCAGCACCATTTGCTCCATGTCCTCGGGAATTTCAGCCCACCCTACAACTTCCATCCCCCCCTTTAATCTGAGCTCAGTCTTCAGCCACATGCTCAAGCTGTCACTGGGACAGCCCTGAGTCTGCAGCAGAGCACTGGGTTAATGCTTCATCCCATCATTTGTCGCTGCACAGATGAACAAGTGGCTGAGAAAGCTCATTTGGGATATTTTCAGGTTGTTTCCTGTGCCTGGTTTATTCTCCCCTGTGCAGAGAAAATGGGGTTCTTTGGGCCATACGTGAAATTTCCCTGTTCTCTGGGGGTATTTTTGAGCAAGTGCCACCATCCTGGGGTGAGGAGCTGGGGAGCTGGAGGGCACAGGTCGGGTTTTCACCCACCTGCACAACCTGCTCCAGCTTGACTGGGCTTTGGGGTCATTCAAACCAAGGAACGAGCCCCCCAAAAAAAGTGGGTTTGGGAGCTGCGGATGGCAGTTTGTAATGAAATCCCCTGGCTGGGGAGTCAGTTCTAGAAATGCATCAGCAGGCAGCGAGTGAAGAAAGCGAAGTTTGACAGACCAAATTTCCATATGTTGGGAGGCAGCAGCTTGCCAAGGCTGCGTAATTTGCGGTGATTGCATCCAAAACATTCGACTTTATTGTAGGAACAGAATCAAATTGTTTTCCAGACGCACTTTTTAAAACCCGTGTAGCACTACGTATTTTCTTTCTGCTTTTTTGTTCTCCTTTCCCCCCACCCCCTTCCCCTTTTTGTGACAGTTGCATGAGAACAACAGCAGCGTTTCGGGGTTTTTTTTGGAATTTGTTTCTGATCCCGATTGAAGTGCTTTGCTGTTTTGAAAAAGAGAAGGGAGAAGAAGAGGATGTGGAAAAAAAAAAAACAAAACCAAACCATCACTATTTGGAAATACTTTTATTTAAATAAATTTGTGAGGAGGGGGCTTCTCCCCCCAAAAATGCTTCGTGTTGCAGATATTGCTGTAAAATTACATCAGTCTGGGCTGTTAGAAACAGCAGCTCTTTGTTCCAGCTGGAAATCCTAAACTTGGGTTTAATTTTAATGTCTCTGGTCTTGGCACTGGGCTGAAATAGCAAAGCCATTCCTGGCCCAGTGTCGAGGGACATGTTACAACCCACTGGTTATTCCCAGTGTTCCAAAATCCCAGAGGGAGAAAATAAATGGGAGACTGACCCTGCTATTTTGTTTTAAATCTGTTCTTTTAACCAGGGGAGTAGTTGAGCAATACCAGCACTAAGAGCACAACAAGGATTCGTCCCAGTGACAGGTTTTGGATAGGATGGTGAAGGCAGTTTTTGTTTTCCTTAAATTGTCTTTTATAAATTTCAAGGGATTTTCCTCGTGGTGTGTGTTTGATACCATCAGCTCTTGGGAAGGAGAGTTTCATGTGCTTCTTAAAAACACTAAAAAATGGTTTAGCGTTAGGGGAGTGTGTAAAACATGGTTTCTGAACAGGCATCTTAGAGCCTTTCAACGACTAAAATAACTAAATATCCACTTTGTGTAGCATAGGATATAAAGCAGGACGGTCCTTTCTCTCGTTGTGCTCCTGCTCTTTTCCCTCTCAGTGGCTTTTTCCAGTTGTGCACGTGATACACCTGGATTTGGGTTGATTGAACTGAAATTTTGAGAACCAGGATGGGAGTGGGAGGCAGCGCCTCAGCTTTGGGATCTGAGTTTGGTTTGGGCCCTACAGAACTTGCACAATGTTTCATTAAGTCTCATGAAGATTTTCCTCTCTCAGACCTTGTTCTGTCCCACTCCACACCCTCATTCCCAGGGAAAGTGTGGGTTTGATTTATATCAAGGTATTATCAGAAATTAGGAGTATTTTCTGTGATGCTCTGCCTTCAGTTCTATAAAGTGCTTCGTTTGAAGGAATATGAATCCCAGCAAGTGTTTGACTGATTTTCAAGGATGGGAAGGCAGCTTATTCACATCCTTTGATTTTCACAAGCACCGAAGTCAGCAGCTGATGGTGTTCATCCAAAATGTGCCTGCACATCCTCACCCCGTACCCTGAACCTTCCTTTCCTGCTGTTCAGAGCGTTTCCATTAGCTTATCCTTTAATTAATTAATAAATGCTGAAGCTCTGGGGCAGCCTCCCTTCTCCCTTCTTCCTTCCTTGTGATCTGGGGTATTTTTTGAACTCTTTGAACACAGAAATTCCCCTGGAGCTCCAGAGCCTTCCCCCTGTGGTCGTTCCTTTCCCGGGGACCACTGGCACTGAGGGTTGTAAAATAAAGAGTGCCAAGGAGGATTTTGAGTGGCTCAGCAGACAGGACTGGGAATTAATGAGGATCTGGCACAGGGGCTGCAATTAGTCAGCGCAGTCTTAAATTATTCCTGAACATTTTCTGACAGTCCAGCGAGGGGAACGTTTGTCTTCCAAACGCGGCGCGGTGAAATAAATGTCTCCTGCTGGCACGTGGAGGGGGTTTGGTGGCTGGTGGGACAAAAAAGCACGTTCTCAGCACTCCTCTCCAAACCAGTGAGGCTCGTTTTGAGTGTTCTCTCACTGGTGAGATTCTCACCAGCACCCCCTGCCCTGCAGGAGCCCTGGGATTGCAAAACTTGAAGCGGTGAAATGTCCCCCCCCAGGGTGGCAGGAGAAGGGCTTGGCTTTGCTGTGGTCAGTGAGTGGTGGTGTTGGAAGAACCAGGAGGTTGGATAGAGGTAGATAAGTGATCTTGGAGGTATTTCCCAACCTAAATGAATCTCTGATTCTGTATCTGAAAAAGAAATCCCCCCTACTACCCAATCTAAACCTCCCCTGGCACAAATTGAGGTTATTTCCTCTTGTCCTGTCTCTTGTTACCCGGGAGAGGAGACCTGGGAGAATTGATCTCTTCTTCAATTCCCACCTGAGAGCATCTTTGCACCATGTCTGTGCAGTCATTGCTCTTTAGATATGCATTCCCTGGATAGCTCATGCCAAGTGGGAACAATGGCAGATACCTTCTCCCTTCACCCTCAAATGTTCCTGAAAACGTTTCAAGGACTGGTTTGGATTTTGCTGTGTATTTTATTATGATCTAATGCATAGAAAACTGGGAAAAGGAACACAATCAATATCCATGTTTTTAGGTGCTGGCAGTGCCCCAGCACACGTGGTCTGTGAGGGGAAGATATTTCTTCCTCTGCCTCTTAACTTCAGGTTGCTTTGCAACGTCATGTTTCCTGGTGAAACAAGACAGTGTTTTAATTGCCAAACAGGAACATCCTGTCAGCAGCCTGGTTTCACTTATTTACTTCAGGAGCGTTGAAATAACTTTGCTCAAGATTGATTTAGCACTTGTGGGTGCTGGGGTTGTTCTGTGCTCGCTGGATTGAGCAGGTGAACAGACGTTGTGTGTCTGGGTTGAACAGACGATCCCGTCTCCCAGGGGATGCCGTGCAGAGCCCGGTGTTCTGCCTGGAGCCTTTAATTATGGTGGGTTTAAACAAGCAAAATTAATTTCTCCAGCCACACTTTTCCCCCAGCTCTGAGCTACTTCATCCTGTAAAATCCTCTGAACTCCTTTGGTGGAAAATGCTGTGAATGAGCCCAGCTGGAGATGAAGAACCACGGAGCCTCTCGCTCAATCCTCCCTCTCTTTCCCCCACACCCCGGTGGAATGGGGAGGAGGATCAAAGTAAAACTTGCAGGTTGAGATAAGAACAGTTTAATAATTGAAAATAAAGTAAAAATACAGTAATCATAATAATGGTAAATAATAATAGTGGTAATAAAGAGGGGAAAAACAAGAGATTCACAATGCACCTGCTGATCGATGCCAGAACCTGCTTCCCGAACCCAGATCAGCCTCTTCCCAGCAATTCCCCCCAGTTTATAGACTGGGCAGGATGTTCCATGGTGTGGCCAGTTTGGGTTACCTGTCCCAGCTCTGCCATCTCCCAGTTGCCTTTGTGAACCTCCTCCCTGGCAGAGCACGAGACAAGAGAAAAAAAAAAGTCTTTGACTTGGGATAAACACAACTTAGAAAAAAACCACATCCAAAACATGGCTCTGGGACAGCTGCTGAGAAGAAATTAAATCTTCCCAGCTGAAATCAGGACAATAAGAGGAGATTGAGGGAAGATCTCATTGCAGTTACAACTTCCTTGGGAAGGGAAGAGGAAGGGCAGGCACTGAGCTCTGCTCTGGGGGGACCAGGGACAGGACTCAAGGAAATGGCCTGGAGTTCTGTCAGGAAAGGGTTAGGTTGGAAATCAGCAGAAGGTTCTTCCCCCAGAGGGTGGTTGGCACTGAACAGGCTCCCCAGGGCAGTGGGCACAGCCCCAAGGCTGCCAGAGCTGCAGGAGGGTTTGGACAACGCTCTGAGGGACAGGGGGGGATTGTTGGGGTGTCTGTGCAGGGCCAGGGGTTGGACTGGGTGATCCTTGTGGGTCCCTCCCAACTCAGCATATCCTGTGATCCTGTAAATATCCAGCTGCTTTAACACCAAACCCAAGGAAATGAGTGTCCTTTTCACCTTCTGAGACAAAAAGATTCCTGGGGAAGACGAACCATCGTCCCCAAACCCCACTTTCCCCCGCCGGTGACGTTCCCTCCCCGTGTCTCCCCCCGCAGTGCGATTCGCGCCCTACAGACCCCCCGACATCTCCCTGAAGCCGCTGCTCTTCGAGGTGCCCAGCATCACCACCGAGTCCGTGTTCGTGGGCCGCGACTGGGTGTTCCACGAGATCGACGCGCAGCTCCAGAGCTCCAACGCCAGCGTCAACCGGGGCGTGGTGATCGTCGGCAACATCGGCTTCGGCAAGACCGCCATCATCTCCAGGCTGGTGGCGCTCAGCTGCCACGGCACCCGCATGAGGCAGATCGCCTCGGACAGCCCCCACGCCTCCCCGAAGCGTGAGTACGGGGGGCAGGGGGGCACAGAGTGAGGGGGGGGGTTGCCTGGAGTGATCCCCCGAAAATCGGCCTGGTCCTCGTTGCCAAGAGGAGGAAGGGCCTGTCGTGGTTTGGTTTGGGAGGGACCTCAGACATCAAACAGTTCCGACCTCCAGCCACAGACAGGGACACCTTCCACCAGCCCGGGTTGCTCCAAGCCCCGTCCAGCCTGGCCTTGGGCACTTCCAAGGTGGGGCAGCCACAGCTTCTCTGGGAATTCCATTCCAGCCCCTCGCCGCCCTCACAGGGAATAAATTCTTCCCAGTATCCAAATCTACCCTCCTCCAGCTCGAGGCCGTTCCCCCATGCCCTGCCCCTCCCTTGTCCTTGTGAAAATTCCCTCTCCAGGTCTCTTGTAACCCCTTTAGGTTCTGCTCAGGAGGCTTTTATGCTGCTGCTGTTCCAAAGCTGCTTTTTGAGGAATCAGAATAGTCTGCCTCTGATTTCTCTGGCTTAGAAACATCACAGACTTTTCTCTGATGGGGATGTCTCCAGTTTTAGAATTATAGAAGCACAGAATGGCTTGGGCTAAAAGAGACCTTTAAAGGTCATCCACTCCAGTCACCCCATCTCCAGCGAGATGAGGCAGCCAGTGTTCTCTGATTACAAGCCCATGCCAGTGCATTCTCCTTCCAGTGTGGATTATCTCGGTGTATCATGGTATAAATGCTCAGGGTGGGTCACGAGCCCATGCAGGGCTCAGCACCCAGGTTTGCTCTCCCTGCCGTGGTCCCATCCAATTCCCATCACTCCGTGCTGGCAGGTTTGTAGGTGGGGATGACAGCATTTTAAAATCACTCAGCTCTCAGTAAGTGAGTAAGACAGGACTAAAAATACTGGGGGTGAGGTACCTGAAGGTATCTTGGAGGATGTAGGTCACTGTACCTCAGAGAAGCTGCAGTTAAATCTGTTTACTGGAGTGCAGGGCTCTTGCCCTGTCAGAAGAGCTGAAATGTCACCGGGGGTTGGCATGTTCAATAGTGTCACTTGTCAGAGCTAAATGAACAATGTGTAGTGAAAGGCAGGGCTTGTTTCTATATTTTAACTGCAGCTCTGCAGTGCACCAACTGTGTGTGTGTGTTTGTGTCCCCAGTCTGCTGAGGGGGATTGTGGAGATTAAAGAGACCACTGGGCTTAACTCTTTCTGGACTGAAAGCTGGGTTTCTCCCCTGAGAAGGGGCCCCTGCACCCTTCCTGCACAAAGGATGAAGATCCTGACACATTGTTCAGTTCACAATCTGGTGTGTCCATGAAGTTGAAAGCTGAATGATTCCTCAGTGTTAGTTATTGGGATGGAAACCTTCAGAATCAGTATTTAATTTGACTTTTTTTTTCTTTTCCCTAAAGAGATCACAAGTCCTAGTTTAGGTATAGAAGACAATAATTATTCTGTGAGATCTTTGTGGGTCCCTTCCAACTGAGGATATTCTATGATTCATCTCTGATTCTGCGATAAGTTTCTTTGTTGTTTCTTTTTCCACGTGCTGAAAAAGAATCTGTTATGCTTAGTAAAATTCATGTTTAGTAATAACTGCTAATCAGGTGGTCTGACTCTGCTACAGCAGTTGTGCAATCAGCATTAGTAAAGCGGCTTCAGTACAGCCTCATCCTTCTAATTCCTGTCTCAGAAAATTAATACAGGTGACAGTGGTGGTGCAGGCTCAGAATCGAGGATGTGCCTCATTCTAATGCTCAGGGTTTAATTGTGGAGGCAGCCTCCTCCTCCTCCTCTGTTGTTTGCCATTAAATGGGTCATTGTTTGCATGATGATTTCCAGTCAAGCTCAGGGATGCACTGCAGCAAATCCAGTCAGGAGAACCCTGTGCCAGCGCAGCCTGCACTTCAGAGTGGTGTTGTTCTTAAAACCTTCCCAAAATAACCGGTAATTAGACATCAGCAAGTGCTGCATGTCTTGGTGTCGTTCAAAAATCCTCTGTGTGGGTACCTAGGAGTGAAAATAAGTGTGGGTTGGGAATGTTACCCACAAAGGCCAGGTGGATGGGCTGTGGTAGCAATCTGCTGGTAAAGCCAGTTTCTGTTTGCCAGGCAAAAGAAGCAGCTAAAACGCAACAGAACACAGTTAAACTTGCCAGAGATGGTTCCAGGATAATTTATTATTTGCTTGCAAGCCTTTCCCAGATCCTGGTGCTGCTCCTGCTCCTCTCCCCCTGATTACATTAATGGGCTTCAGATGGCTGTGTTAGCTGGGGCTCTCCGTTTATTTATGTTAGAAAATAGGCCCATAATTCAGAAAAATTGGCTGTCTGTGCTGAAGGAGGACTTGGAACCAAATTAACCAGCGATTGCTCATAACGAGGGAAGGTCTGTTGGCAGAAGTGCAGAGCAGGAGAGCTCTGCACTCAAATCCACCAAACCTGAAGGCAGAGCCTTCCAGAGTGCCCAATTCCCTCCATTATTGTCATTATTTTAAAGCCAGTGAAATTACAGTGGAGAAGATGAATAATCCTAGAATATGCTGAGCTGGAAGGGACCTGTCAGGATCATCCAGTCCAACTCCTGACCCTGCACAGGACACCCCAAAAAATCCCACCACGGGCCTGAGGGCATTGTCCAAACACTCCTTGAACTCAGCCAACCTCAAAGCTGTATCTTGAAAGTCCTTCCCAAAACTGCTGCTCCGAAAAGCAGTTTCTTGGGGAGCCTCTGTCCTGGGAACCCCTGAAATCCAAACCAGGGTGTTTGTGGGTGTTATTTTAACTACCATGCTTAGGAGCTGCCTGCTCTGTAATAAAGCTGTTCAGTGCTTGTCCTGTGGCAATTCCTGACCTCTTTTCCTTGTGTAGATGTGGATGCCAACCGAGAGCTGCCCCTGACCCAGCCACCCTCTGCTCACCCGTCCATCACCAGCGGGAGCTGCCCGGGCACCCCCGAGATGCGCCGGCGCCAGGAGGAGGCCATGAGGAGATTGGCCTCACAGGTATGGAAAAATATCCATCTCTGGGCTCTTCTGGGGGCCTTGGGAAAAGGGCAGATTGAATGGAAGCCCTCTGACTTAAAATCCCTCAGCGCGCTGGAAAACGCTCCAACAACTCCCCCAGGAGCTTCCAGAGAGACCTCTGGAAGGAGTTTGGTTACCCAGGGAAGTTGTTTCTCTGAAACGAAATTCAAACTACATCAAATATACTCCCCTGCTACTCTGGAGGGTTTGCCTTTCCCAGCCATCCTGCCTTCTCCTGACGAGTGTCAGGGTATGACGCAGTTATTACCGGAATAATTGTGGTTTTTCTTCAGCGGTGAGAACAAAATTGCCCAGAGTTTGAGCGGTGTTTTGTTGGAAAGGGGCAGGTACTGTGTGGTAGGGGGGAGGCCCAGGCTGAGTGCTGCTGCTGCTGCTGTGTGTGCACTTGGGTGTTTTTTGGAAGATCACAGCCCTTGGAGCAATACACAAATCACTTGCTGCTCCGGCAGGAGTGGATCGTGTGGAACATATGGAACACTGTCACTTGTGTACGTGAGATTTACAGCTTGAATTTTATTGTATTGCTGAGGTTTAACCCTAATTCTGTGGTGGTGGGAAGGTGCCATTCTATTCCTTTGAAATCCGAGGAGTTTGCTCTCTCTCCTCCTACCCCTTTTGGGGGGATGGGAGCAGTTAATGCTTTCCTGTGGCTGCTCCTGTTTGGAGAGGAAAATAACAAGCAAAGTCTTTGTTCTAAATTATTACCAGGACGTGTTTTGCTTGGCTTTTTGTGCCAGATACTGTCTTGTCCTGTCTGCTTTCCTGCTGACCCAGATGGCCAGTCAGGGAGAGTGTGGTAGCTGCGTAAATAAATATTAAGGGCTGAATCCTCTCCTCTTCCACGTGGAGTTCTTGAAAGGAATGCGATGCCCAGGTCTGGTTTTGTTCAGAACACATTAGTCATCGTACTCCTTGCAAATCTGAAGCATTGCAGACTCCCAGAAAGGGCAGTAAAATGTGCTGTCTCTGCTTAAAATACCTCATCTATCTCAGCTTTCTTCCCCTGAGTGCTTAAGTCATCCTGCTGGGTATGTAACTGAGAAATGGATGCAGTTTTAGCTTCACTTTCCTCCTGGAGAAGGTAAGGGATATGGCTCTTTCAAACATTCTGTCACATCCACGGCATAGATCACTCCCTGAAGCTTTTTGGCATCTCTGATCGCTGGAGAAAAGAGCAAGAAACGATCCTGAACAGCCAACATTTAAACAGAAATAGGTTGTTTTACCTTGAGCACAGACTCCTTTAGGAAGGGGTTTTAAAGCCCTGCTCATCCCCTTGGCCAACATTTTTTTTCCCCGAAGAAATCCAGTATGTTGGTGTCAGAACACAACAGCTGATGGTGGGAGATGTCCTGCCCCTCGTGCCTGCAGCAGGATTACACACGCTGGGAGTAAAGATTGTTCATCTCCCAGGAAATCTCCGCTGGCGTAAGTGGAGATTCCAGAAATAACCATCACCGGCTCCCAGACACCAGGCCCTGATGAAGGGATCAGTGCCAAGGCTGATGAGTTGACCTTAGAGCTCTTGGAATCCCTTCTTCTGCTCGAGTTGCTGACGCAGCACGCGGAACTTCCGAAAATTCCCTCGTGTTCCGCAAACAATTCCTGGGATGAGTCAGAGCGGCGGCGCTTGTGATTCAGCGTTCGGAGACCTTGGGCCTGTTCCCAGCGTTGCTCTTAGCCTTGCTGGGATCCTTGGAGACCAGCACCTCCTCTGCCTGCCTCCCTTTCCCTGGATGCTAAAGGATCCCTGCGGATAATGGTCCGTGGACTCCTGGCGCTGGAAGAAACGCAAAACCAGGTGGTAGTGGTTGATTATTTGGGAAAGAATTCTGAAAGTACAAGAAAAATTCTTTTTTATTATTTGTTCAGTTTTTTGTTCCGTTTTTTTTTTTTTTTTCTTTTGGAGCTCCGTGTTCCTGCTGATGGTTCTTTATCATTAATCAACAATTTGGTTTTATTGCATCAGAGCCCCTTCCAGAAGGGCCGTGCGTCACGCTCCAGGCCGTGAGTTTGATGGATTACCGAGCCTCGGGATGAAAAATAAAGGCAAATAAAATGGTTAAGGGCGTTTGTCAAATTGATGGCTGGGAGTTGTGTGCACAGTGCACTCGTAGTAACCTCCTGAGTAGCACAACTCAGCATCACCAGCGAGGACTCCTTGCTGTCAGCAGTGGATAAATTGATTTGCTTGGAAGGAGCCGTGCCATGTGATGTCCTCCTGGATAAAACAAACACTCCCTGTTCCTCCCCAGCTGTGGGGCTTGAAGCCTCTGAGTGACACTGAGGGGAAAAAAAAGGATTAACTGACCTGGCAACAGAATTGAAAATCCATTAAAATAACAGCGTGGAGCCCTTTGTTCTGCCCGCCATCGCCTCGTTCAGAAAGCCCATGGCACGTGTCGGAGACCAGGACAGTTCTAAGGCTTTGAAGATGCTGAACCCTCACCAGAGCGAAACCACTGAAGGGTAGAGAACAGTAAAAATAGTTAAAATAATTTAGCTGCTTAATCTGAGCGTCTGGTGCCACATTCTCCAGCAAGGGGCAGTTTAGGAAAACCTTTACGTAGGTGAGCTAAAGGCTTTCCAAAATAGCAAAGAAAAGAAGGGGGAAAAAAGGAGTGGAATGTCCTTTGGTGCAGGAGGAAGGGAGAGAAGAGCAACATATTCCTGTGTCAGTAGCTGTGGAACAAAGAAGGAGTTGTTGATGGCCTCCTTAAACAGCTTTTGTTCAAGTGGCTGAAGGAAAAAGAGCCCAAAGAAGGGAAGGACCGGTTGGTCAGTCTGGTTGGGAAAGCATTTCTCGGCCACGTGTGTTTTATGGTTGCATTAAGACTGGGAGTCAGAACTGAAGTAGGGAAGAAGGTGTTGACAGTGATGGACGGCCACAATCGTGGGGAATATTTCTGGAGACTGATGAACCATCTGTGAGGAGCTGGGTGAAGCTGTGTGCAGATGTTGCAGCTCTGCGTGCACCGAGCAGAGCGGGGTGTTCTCAGGTTGGGCTGAGGTGGTTGTGCTGGAGAACTGCAGATCCTTACGAAAGCAGATTAATAACATGCAAACAGCCTTAGGTAATGGTTGGCTCAGGCTCCAGAATGCTGGTGGGAAGCTCGGCGTCCTCTCACCCACTCCCTTCCCTCCGAAAATGTCACTTATCCCAAAATTCAGAAGTTGTGTGCCTGTGATGACAGAAATGAAAGGTGAACAGTTGCTTCTCCTCCTCTGGATTATTCAGGGTTGTACTTCTCTGCCTGGTTTTCGTGCAGTGAGTTCTTGGGGGCAGAGGTTGCGTTTATCTCGTAATGTCAGAGATGAACAAATCATTAATTTTAGAAATAAGTAACTGCAGATGACCAAGCAGGAGCTCAGTCCTACCATGCTGGAAAAGAGCACCGTTGTGTTGTAGTGTCAGGGGGCAGTTTGAAGTTACCCATGACTAAAAAGAGAAGAGACTTGGATTAGATATTGGGAGGGAATTCTTGGCTGTGAGGATGGTGAGGCCCTGTGGAGATTAGTGGAGAAAACAGTGGAAGTACAGCACTACCTGTGTATAATTCACCTGAAATATCCCCCCAGTCTGCTCTGGCCATCCTGTTCCAGCTCCTAGTGCTGATTTTGGATATGGTTGGAGTTGGAAGGGACCTTAAAGATCTTCCAGTAGTGATCAATTTAGAGAGACTATTTCTAAAAGGGAAAATTCCAAGTCTTGCTGCCACCCCAGGGTCAGTTCAAGTTTGGGGCTTGGCTTTGTGTTCCAGGCTGGCATTTAAGAGAGGGATAAAGCAACGTGCCAGGAAACTCGAGGCATCAGGATGTAAATGCCTTGCCTCCCATTTCCTTGCAAGGAAAATATTAAATAATGTGGCCATGTTAATAGCTGCTTTAGCAGAGCTCTGTGAATTAATTTCCTAATTTTAAAAATAACATTAATCCTCTTGTTGGGAACTGAGCTGGCACAATTATTTTTTTCCCCCCCCTTTGCTCGTTGGCTTCTGGTGCCTCTGAGGAGGAGCTGAGGCAGTGAATGCTGATGGGCATCCCACCAGTTGTGGGGGTGTGGATCAGCCCCAGCAGTCAGCAGTCCTTGCTGGGGAGGTACCTGTGCCTTTTCCTCCATCCCATCCTGGGAGGGACTTCTACCATAGCGTGGAGCAGAGGGATTTTTCAGGGCAGGAGGACAAGAGCAGTTGTCTCAGCAGATCTTGGCAAACTGTTTCTCAGAGAAGTCATGAATAAAACTGCTCACATTGCAACACCCAGCTACGATCTCTCAGACAAAGGCAGCGCTCCAGAGCTCTCCCTCCTTGTGCTGTGTTTGTTCAACCTTTTTACTGTTTAATCTTGTTATCTATTAAAATCCTTCTGATTTCACTTCTTCTGGCCAGGGAGCCATCACTAAGACACCACGTGGTTGTCCTGCAGTGCCACCTTTCTGTCTCCAGATGCTCCTGGGCAATGTGTGGCTTGGGCTGCAGCGTGACTTTGGAATTATGGAATTGTTTAGGTTGGAAAAGATCCTTAAGGCCATCGAGTTCAACCATTCCCCCAGCATTGCCAAGGCCACCACTAACCCCAAATTGTCCCAAAGTGCCACGTCCACCCAGCCTTTAAATCCCTCCAGGGATGGGGATTTCACCTGGCTTGTCCAGAGCTGGTCCTTCACCTCAGAGAAATGAGATGAGAGGCTTTCCCACAACCCCAGCCTGTGCTGAAAAGTGCTGACCCACAAATAGGTGTCCTGGGTGACCTCTGCCCTTCAGCAAGAGGCACCAGCACCGTTCAGAGCTGCAGTAGCCCAAGGGGAGATGAGTTCAGCTCAAAGGAAGGAGCCTGTGCTGTGTCCTCTCTCGTTACAGTCACATCCCCCATTTTCCCTGAAGGTTTATCCTTTACTCACCCAGCGTTTTTAATGGCCCAGTTTGAACTAAGCCATTGAACCAGCTCCATTCTTTGGG